AATGCTAAGACTATACCTGAAAGGTATAGTGGAGGATGTTCTTTTGCCGGATGGATCATCAAAATCAGTGGTCCTCCTAATTATCAATATTTAGGATTGTAAATCAATCTCTAGGTAGGTAGAATTAACTTCTTAAAATACTGTTCATTGGATTTAAAGCAGCTTTTAGCAAGATTAGAAAAACATAACGGTATAAATGATTGCTTGTGTTAAACTTTCTAAGAGGCTTTTTTAATTTAATGACAGAGCGTTACCTTTGTTTCGTCTAAAGCCTGTTCAGCAGAGATAACATTACTGTATTTCCTGCGAAGAGCAATTGTAACTGATTGTGAACTTGTGATGTTTGGGGTCATCTTTCACTCAGTAATTAACAGAAACACATCATGACACACTCCAGGGTTGTGTTTTAAGCCCTGCCAAAGTTAAAAGCGTGTTTGATGTAAATACGTCTCAATAAAATGTAATTTTACTCTCATTATGTCTATGAAAATCTCGATACTAGTCCACATTTTAAACTGTGTTCAGTGGAGCAATTCGTTTCAGTTTTGTCCAATAACATACGTGAATTATCAGGCTATGTTTTGCCACATATTTTCTTATTAAGACGTGGATGATGTGAAAAAAATAAACGTTTTATGCTGGGGAGTGGCCATGCAGTGTGGTGCATTGATGCACCTAATATATGCAAGTAATATATTGACACTTAAAATGCTTCAGCTTTTAAGTACAGCCATTAGTTGCCAGACATAGGATTTAACACTCTGCCTCACAGCTGTCGGACTAAAAGTTGCCAGCTCTGTGTCTGGACTGGCTCTAATTTCTCACCTCCCCGTGGTAATAAAAGCAGCAGGCCGCAGCATCCCTTCACACCGCCAAGGTTAAGTACCGTCTCACTGAAGCATCTCCTGACTCAAAGTATTACTTCCTATGATGGCTTTCGCTGTCTCTTTCTCAATTATTTCGGAGCAGAAGGCACTCTTTTGCAAAATAATTTACTGTCATTCGGCATTACAAATGACATTTTACATATGACCTCCTATAAAATTTGTGCCTCTTGAAAGTTGTATCACATGCAGCAAAATTCTATTTTGAGAAGTCCAGCTGCGGCTTAAAGATGTCTGAGAGACTGCAGCATGTCAACAGCTTTAGGGATAAAGCTTTTCTGCCTTATGCATGTGCATGTGTTGATGGTTATTAGTCTACCTGAGGGTGAGAAGTGAATAAGCGGTTTCCAGGATGTGAGGGTTCCTGCAGGATTCTTGTTTCACTCTACCGCGTGTTGCCCAGTCCTGGAAGAGCTTAGATAAGGATCCTCCCAGCAGTCCTAGCAACCTGTTTCAGTCCAGAGCACAACAAAGCACAGAAGTAGGTTAACATGCCTTTAGTTGTGCAGCAGTAGGAGCTGATCAGCAGCTTTCAAGCGTGCCTATTCTGCTTTAGGGCTCTTAAGAAAAAGCATCTCTGCTGGGCTTTTTTATTGATGCCGGAAGTGTTTAGGTTCCAGGTTAGGTCCTTAGTGATGTGCACTTATATCAACTTACTTCTTTTGTTTTTCCTGGAGGTCTAGAGGTCAGTTTTAGATTCAGGTACTGTCGTCTCCGGACCTCATATCTGTTGGCAGTTTTCTCATTGTTTATTGTGTTGTCCAATAGGGCAGACTCTCGTAGCTATGCCCACATGGTCATAGGTTAGGAGAACATAGAGAGCTGGACCGCGGACACAGCCTTGGGGTATGCCATTAGAAAATCCTTGATTTGATCAAAGGAAAGGGCTCCTTGGTTTATTGTTTTTTAACCAGTTTTCTTAGGATGACTTAGTTGAATTCATAACTGTAAACCAACACAAAGAAAATCCTGATGTAGCTGTACCAGGTTTTGCAATGCAACATGGCTTATTAATTGTTCTTTTAGTCCTCTATGCTGATTGATCTGACAGATGAGGTTTGTCCTTAAGGAAGGAGCTCTTACCAGTTTCCTGAAACTGTTCATGATCATTTGGGTGTGAGCAATTTAACTGAACCTAACTACCCACTATCCTTGGACCTAAACCCCAGCCCTCTTGCTGGTCAGGTTGCAGTAATGAACCAGGGGGAAAGTTGCATTGTTTTTAAGCCATCCTTTCATATCCGATGTTAGATTTTTGAAGGTGTTTTCACTTCAGAAATGAAAACATTTGCTACCCTGATCATGCAGTTATCTCTTTTTGCATAGCTGGATTGTGTTTGGATTGTGTCCTCCTATAGTCACTCTATCAGCTATAAGGTCTCATGGGTAGATACTTCCTGTTTGGTGGTGCAGTCCCTTTCCACTTTTCCATTTGTTACCGTATTTCTCTTGCACATGCTGTTTCATTTATCTTGTCACTTCCTCTCTGTCACTGAGTTCCTCCTTTTATATCCTTTGCATTTTTTTCATGTCTATCTACAATTAATTTAAAGCTTTTTCCTGCCTTTTTCCTCCTTTTTTCTTCATCACTGATCCCAAAACTCTCTGATCTATCTATGTCTGTCCCCATCTTCCCACATGACCTCCTGTTCTTTCTCAGGTGGGTTATCTACAAGGTAATGTGTTTGCAGACAGCACACGGTGACTTAGGGAGGCCATTAGGGAATGCCCTGACTGCAAATAGCAGCGTTGGATGTCCATGACAGTACAAGTGCTGGTGTTAGCATTTGTCAGCAGCATTTTTGTGTCTGTGTGGGTGTGTGTTTGTGTAGGTTTGAAGGTTATGATGAAGAATGAGAACTGATATACACCAATAATGGAGACTTCTCTCTGATGGAAGCAATTTTTTACAAATTGATGAAGAGATGTACAAACATGGGATGAGTCTTATAGCCATCATTAACATAGATGTCATGTTGAAATTGAGGTTTAAAACACTATTTATGATTGTTTTTTGAGGGCTGGATTGATTCATTGATAAGAAACACCAATTGTTATTGTGTAAAATAAGAATTGGGAATTAAATTTTGCGCTTAAACAAATACAGTAATTCAAATACTTTCCAAATTATACACGCAGGCTTAAATGATGAAGGAATCCCTGCTGAAATTTCCTTAAATGGTCTTGATCAAATTGTATCCCAGAGGCTTCCTGAATCATTCTGGATAAATATTTGAAATGTTTTAGCAGAATTGTTCTTTTGAACTGGTTGATTTCCCTGCAGGCAATTCTAAGTACGCTAATTAAATGTTTAATATATTGAAAAGATTTTATCTCTTTCCAGAACCTGGATTTTAACTTGATCTAATCAATTCTGATCCATTTTAGATCATCAAAATCTGACAAATTTTTGTGCAGGTGTTAAAAAAAAATTTAGTTTTTGTTTTAAGGTTGAAATATTTTGGGACAATTTTTCATTCACTGTTTAAAAGTTTGTGGTTTTGGTGTACATCAGTACCGAAGGTAGGGAAAAAATACCATAATGCCTCCGACACCATGGTTTACAGTTATTATAGAAAATACTTTTTCTGGACTCCTCCAGCTGTACATGTCATAACAGTCGAAGAGCAAAGCATCAGTAAGCTCCAACTTATTTTGGGTTAACTGGATAAGATGGGAAATGTTTTTTGTGACATCAACTTTTAGGTGTATGGAATATTTACTCTTTTATTAATGTTATGTGTGTGATTGTGTCTCTGTGTGGGACTTTATTTATGTGAGTGCATCTTGTGTGCATGGAAGTGTTATAGATGCAGGGCTGTTGATCCCATTGAATTATTGATGGCATGGAGGTCAAGGATATCTCTCGCTCAGGATCACACAGAGGATGGAAACCGACCCTGGCAGCGTCACGCAAAGCCACTCTGCCCACTGGCTGGATGAACAACTGGCACTCTGTCCCATAAACAGGGACCCATTTATAGATGCAGCAGTTTGTTTGTTTTGTAGTAAGATATAGTCAAGCATCTGCTAAAATTAAGATATCTAATACAGAAAAAAGGCTCTTGCTTTGCTTGTTCTGCAATGTCTGCACTCCAATTTTTACACACACATCCCAAGTAGCTAACTCAAATATGGCCTTCGGGTTTAATCAATGCACGTGCTGCAACATGATGCCTTATTGATCCCCTAAGCAGCGTTCTAAATAACCCTTAATAACTGACGTCATAGATCTCTGGATGGTTGGTTAGCTCTTTTTAAAATCCAAGTTTACAAGAGAATAATAAAAGTGGCAGCAGTCAGTGTGGGCGTTCTGGGATTCGCGTGATGATGTGAATCAATGACAGCGGCGATGACATACAAACATCGGCAGGGACTTGCGTGCATGTTTATCTGTCTGCTCAAATAATTTGCACAGCCATTTTCTCTGATCTTCAGAAATAGCAGCCAGCTTTTTGCAAAGAACCATGACACATTTGAGTCAGTTTTGCACAGCTTTGCCCCCTCTGCACTTATTCCTGCTTGTTGCAGAGCGCGTGGTTGGGATCAGATGGGAAGTGACAGCTGACTCGGGGAAAAGGAGAGGCAGCGATCCTCCATCGCCTTGTGATGTTTCTCTACCCCACAGCTTGTTGCAGTTTATATCAAATGGTGACCAGCTTTAAATCTGCTTCATCGGTGGTGAAACATCCATCCCTCTGTCCATCACCTTTTTTAAAGCTTAAAACTACACTAAAAGAAAATGATGCTTTGAGTTTAATAAAATCTGACATTCTGAGATGAAAAATATGAAAATCTAAAAAAATTTTATTGCATTTTTTTTGTTAAAGCTGAAAAGAGTTGTTTTGGTATCTCTGGACATGTACAGAAACCAATGTTCTTGTTGGCACCCAAATTTTTTCACTAAAGTTCTACACATCGTTAGTTATGACCATGTTTGCATGACCCCTAACTGATGCCAGTTTCTAAATATTATTATCAAAAAAAAAATGTTTTGAATGATCATTCAGAATATTTTATGCCTCCCTTACAAAAGTTATATTAATTCATAAAAATATGTAGGCCGTCTCCTGTGATATAACCACATATATTAACTCCAAGACCTCCTTTTTTTAGGTGTTCAACACCTACTCCAACGAGGACTACGATCGCCGTAATGAGGAAGTGGATCCTGTGGCCTCCTCGGCAGAGTATGAGCTGGAGAAGAGGGTGGAGAAACTGGAACTCTTCCCTGTGGAACTGGAGAAAGGTGGGAAAGAACGTCTTAATGAGGAAAGCGTTCTGTCGGTTCCTCATTACACCCGAGAGACAGAGTCACCCACACACGGGTTGTCATCGGGATGTCGTCTATTATTAAACATGTCCCTGCTGTCTGCCTTGTATTCACGTTGCCTTTTTTCCAGTTATTTCTTTCCAAAGTGATTTACTACCGTACAGAAAAAATGCACAGAAATTTCCCAGAATTCATGCATTTATGAAGAATTTGTTCAGCGCCTTCTTTTCCTCTCGTTTTGTTCTGTTGTGATTATTTACCAAGATGCATATAATAAATGCTAACAGCTCAGAATACTGTTGCATTCCTTCATTAGCTTACTATTATGCAACTTGAACAGCTTGTAAATAATTGACTAAAGCAGAGGGAAAGATGAAGGACAGTTCTTATCTAGTCCATTCCTTATTTTCAGTTTAAAGAAATAAATGTAGATGTCTTTTTCTCCTCCTATTCGATAAATTATTTATTTCGGGCCATCTTAAAATATTTTCACACATCCTGCTTTACAGTTAGTTGTTGGGTTTTATTTGAAGCTGAATGGAAGGAGAAAAAAATTCAATGTTTTCTCTTTATGGTTCCAGATGAAGACGGTCTTGGGATCAGTATTATCGGGATGGGTGTCGGTGCTGATGCTGGCTTGGAGAAACTGGGCATCTTTGTAAAGACCGTCATAGAGGGCGGAGCTGCTGAGAGAGACGGAAGGTAAGAGCTGCTATCCTTTGGGTTTTTTTGTATTATGAACACATTTAAATTTATCTGGTCTTATATAAGAAAGGTGGAAAGAGGTACATAAATATAAAATGAAACTACATTTATAACCAATTAAATGTTAGCCAACTCTCAATTACTGTAGATTAAAGTCTATACTTTGACTGAGCAAGTCTAAATAAAATATATGCTTTAATCCACTCCACCCCCGTTTAATGTATCCTGCAACCTCTTAACAGATCTTCGTCCATAATTCCTCTTTATTCAGCTCCTGTCCAACATCCCTCTCCATTAAATCAAGACATCCCACATGATGCTGCCACCATCATGTTTTCTGCATGTCGGATATGCAGATGTGCCAAGCAGAGAGAGTTGTTTTAGTTATTTTTAGATTATATGTGTTGTACTGTAAATATAAATGTTATTGCAAAATAAAAGGCGTCTAAAGACAAAATAAAAACATTTAATATGAGAGAACATGTAATCAAAAGATGTCCGTGCGGCATTTTACCCTTTACAAGATTTTGAGAAATAACCTCCTAAAGTAACAACACAAAATTCTATATCCTGAATTTGTTTTATGTCACTTCAAAGTTTTTTTTGTACTTTTTATCTTAGTAAGAAAAAAATTATTCCAAGTGTGTGGTTTCATCTGAAAAACACACCTTCCTTTCTTCGCTCTCCGCCCCATGTAGCTTAAAGCTGGACTTTTGTAAGACTATGGCCTTTTTGATTTTTCAATAAAGACTATATTCAAACCTCTAAAGCCTTTCACAAAAAACTTATAGCTACAGCATATTGAGCTTAAATCAAGTGCTCACTGTATTTACAAATTGGTGACCTTCTAAGTCAAGGGGGGAAACCAGTCACTTCGGTCATGTGGTTTCTTCCATCAAATAAATCCAGATATAATCCTCACTTTAGAAATTGTTATGAAAATTTATAATTAGCAAAAAGTAAGAGGCTCTTTTATCAAGAAATAAAACATCAATCTTATTTTTATAAGTTTAGAAGGCATATCAGCGTTCTAACGGTGCAATTGTTACATTAAAATAAAGCCGACCTCCACAGTTTGTTCCAGTCTCTCCTGCACTTTCGGTCACGCTCTGTCCTTGTCAGATTAACAGCAGGGGTTTGGATTAGATCTGCTGGGACCTGGGTCTTACGCAGGCATGCCTGTGCATTTCTGCTTTAGCTCCATCATTTCAATGTTGCTCTGTATATGAAAAAAATTCCCATTTTCCCTTCTTCATAGTGTGTTTCTGCTTCTATCCCTGAATGATGTATCTGAGCGTGAACAGTGCAGAATAAGCAGCAGGCCCAGGATACGATATGACAGGTTTTCAGTGCGGAGGCTGTGATTTCTAGCTCTAAACTACAAGCTTCAACCCATCAGAGCATTAATGTGGTTCCCGTTCCTTCTAAACTGATTAAAACTTTCATATTCCTCATCTTTCAGTGCTGCATTAGAGCCGGGAGCAGTCTGAAGTATGATTCTGGTGCTTTAAAGGTGTTAGCAGTAGGTGTGTTTTCTTCCCTGATTAATTTATGCCTTTAAGCAAAAGCCAGAGTTGCAGTTCTCCAGAACATGACATTGAGATTTGTTCTAATGCAACAAAGGAGAGAGAGAAGCAGAAAAGAAGCTGCTTTTCTTAGGGAGGACAATTCAAACTCACAGTACAGCCATCTCCAACTAATAGAGAATAAGTGGAAAAGACAACAGGAAAGCTGCATTCATGCATGAGTGGGTTTCTGTGTTCTGTACATTTGAGCCCTGTTTAACTTGTTAACTATAAACTCAATAATTCTCACTTGGCAGCTCCACTGTTTGGTATAAGATAAGGAAATAAGAAATGCCTTTTTCTTCCCAGAGAAGGGAAATTCAGATGTGATGGTGACAAAACCAAGTAGACAGCTAAGATATGACTAATTAATATAAAAAGGGACAAAAAAAGGTTAAATTGTTAGGTAGACGAAAGAAAAAAAAACCTAAATCTTATATTTTTCTTTTCTAAAAGATGATAAAAAGTACTGTACAGTTAGCACTAAAATAAGCATCTTCAGGTTAACAGAAAAATGCGAAAAACTGTGCAATAAACATGACTGTAACAATCAAACACTTTCAGACGAGGTAAAAACTACACAAAAAGTCATTAGCGAGGCATTTCTTAACATCTGTAATACACATCTAAGGGGATTTAAGGGGAGAACCATGTTTGTAAGCACTTATTAGAGGAATTATAGAGTTTTTTAATGATAATGCCTCCTGTGGCCAAAACGCAGAAATGCATCACTGTTCTGCACCTACTTGACACCTACTTCTCGTTTTTCCACCTTACCTTGAGTTGCCTTTGGTGTATGAGTTGAGGTGGATGCCTACCGCTTCTTAGTATCCACAAAATCCATCTTGATTTTATGGATACTCAGATTTACTTCCATTGTTTGCTAAGTTGGACCCATTTAACATGGACAGGCTTGATAGTACATCTGCAGAAGAGCGCGGGAACTTTAAACCTGAAGTAAATTCAGGAAAATAGGCTACAGGCTTATAGATGCATCGGTGTGAACTACTGAGGTGTCAGTCTGCTCATCATAAAATGTTTTAGTCATAAAGGGAATTCCTTTATTGTCATTGCACAAAGCCACATAGTGAAAAGGACCACAAAATGTCATTGTTTGGCTACCATCTTTCAGTAAAAACATACAAAATGTCTCTTTAAGGCCTGTTGGGAAGGAAGGATCTGTGGAAGCACAACTATGTGCATCTAAGATGCAGTTTAAATAATGTAATTTTTATATTTACTGGAAAAGTTGCCTTTTTCAAGTTAATTTTGAAGGAGAATAGTCTCCCTATTATGCCTCTTTGGATTAGCAATTTTGACCATTTTGTCAAATATTAGACAGTATGGTTATCATCTATGTATGTCATCACTGCCTCTACACATACTGGAGGGCTTGTATCCTGACATATCTGTTATCTCTTCCTTATTTGCTGATATGAGCCTAATGGTTTAATGCACTAGCGGGCTCACATCCAAGCAAGCTAGGTCATGCATCATCTGTGTTTGGGGTAAATGAGTTTCTCAAACCCTGAATGTTTCCTGCTTTTATCAGAATTACCTTGACCTTTATCGTCACTTTTATTGGTTTCACAAACAGCCTAAGATACAGTGAACAAGGGATGTGAAGAGTCACAAGCATCCGAGCTTCTCACAAAGGAGTCGGCCTGTAAAACCTCCTCTGAACCTCCAGATGACCTAGCTGTGTTGGACTAAATCAGCTTTTGACACATGTTAAAGTAAATATTTCTATAAGCCTTTTATTTGAGGAACTTACCGTACAAATTTGAACAGATTTTTTGGTCTCCCACTGGCTGCTGAGATGGAAGTATTTCAGATGTCGATTTGAAAGAATATCTTGGTGTCTGCATCGCTTCTGATACAAAAAAATAAATATTTTATGATTTTATGATCACTATAATTATTTTGTTTTTTTTATGTGCACCTTATTTTCTGTAGGAAATTGAGCTATAATTGTTTACATTTTAGGAATTTTTGTTGATTGCTTGGAAATTTTAAAAATCAAATAATAATTTGTATAAAATTAGAATTAAATAAAAGATTTATTGTTAATAAGGTCCTACACAAAAATACAGTTGGGATAAAAACATTTGTTAATATATAATATGAAACTAATTATTTTGTGATTATGTTTATATTCATGAAACACTCTTAAAGATTTAAAATATGGGAATATGTCACAATTTTGTACAATTTAAAGAGGTTTGTCACACAAGTAAATATGTACAGTACACTTTTGAAGCACTAAACTGCAAAAACTATCTAAAAATAAGTAAAAATGTCTTAAATTAAGTGTATTAACCCTTAATTTGAGCAGGTAAATAAGATGATTTGTCAATGGAATGAGTATTTTTACTCTTAAAATAAGGTAATTATTATCCACTTGATATAAGACAATGCAATTGTTTTTTTCTTATTTTAAATGTAAATTGCCTTGTTCCATTGGCAAAGTGTCTCACTTACATCCCTAATTTAAGAAAAAATGCACTTATTTTAAGAAAAAAACCGAATTATTTAGATTTAATTTTTTGCAGTGTGTGTATCTGGAATATTCTGTTCTTTTGTTCTTTTTTTTGCAGCTGTTCTGGCACTATAATATTTTGTAAGCTTTAGTTCAGGTTAAGGTCAAGAACTTTTTCCAGTCTTTTGGTGTTTTCGGATCAGAGCAGGAATCTCCAATGTACCGTGGCCGGATGTTATCTGGCCTCTTCCTCCTTGTTAACCTTCATATTTTGTTTTTCATCCCTTATCTCTTCTGTCTCATAAACAATTAAACACCTCCATAATGTCTAGTTAAAGCAATAAAAAACAGCTCTGTTGTGCTTTAGACTATAATCTAAACCAGCATGGCATCATTTGATAATCCAGGAAATTATGAGAGAAAATGAAATTAGCTGAATTATTTTCCTCCTCTTTTCATCATTTTGGCCTATTGACTGATGCCTCTGCCTGTGTGCACTAGGATCAAGGTGAACGACCAGATTGTAGAAGTGGACGGGACCAGTCTGGTGGGCGTGACGCAGAGCTTTGCTGCTTCAGTCCTGAGGAACACATCAGGGGTGGTTCGGTAAGAAATACCAACAGCAGAACTAGATTGCTGTAAATTGGTGTTTACAGAAAACTGGATCTAATGCAGATTTTTTTTTCAAGACGACATAAAAAGCTGTAATATATTTTTGCTTTCCATCTGATCTTCAAAGGGCATATAACATTTCATGGCCATGCTTCATTGCGTTTAACATCAAACATTTAACATCATATAAACTCAAGAGTATTCCCTTAAGACCCAAATTGTCCAAGTTAAACCAACAGGCTCATAAACATGTTGTGTAGTGAGTTAAAGAGAAACAACTGCCCCATTTTTACTGGAGCAGTTCTAAACACCCCTACTGGTTAAGCTGGATAAGCTGTTTTCTGGCACCGACCCAGATTTGAAGAATATTCCAGAAATGTTCAGATGGGTTGTTGTTGGGGCTTTGCCAAAATGTTACGGTTTGCAGTAATCATCATTTAACTATTTCAGGTGTAAGTAATAAATGCAAGCCTTTTAGCCCTATATCTTTATTTTTCATCCCCTTTGTGCATACCATTGATACCCCAGCATGATGCTGCCACCACCGTTGTTGCAGTGTTTTAAATTAAAGTCTTCTCTAAAAAAAGCCATTTTTATTTTGTCCTTTGACCAGCTGCAAGTTTCAGTCATAGTTGAAAGTGTATAAATGGATCAGGGGCACTTTTCCTCTCAGTCATGTTAAATTTGCTTCCCTGCTAGCTGAGAGCTGAGCTTGGTGTTTGGTCTGATTCAGCTGATTTGATATTGGGTTGCTCTTTATTAAATGCAATTAAGTTTATTTATATAGCACCAATTCACAACACATGTCATCTCAAGGCACTTAACAGATCAACCAGATCATACAGTCAAATTGTTCTTTTGCATCCTAACGTATTTCCTAGGTATCTAAATGCCATAGAGTGGTTCAGACGGTTGAAACAACAGATAACCTTATCAGACCTCTAAACCAGATTAAAATCTTACCTATAGAAAATCCAGCAAATAGTGTTCATAAATCCTGCCCAGATTTTGCCAGAAGCTTCCATGGCTATAGAAAAACACAGACTGTAGTATTTTTATATTAGTGTTTGTATTCAATCCTTATCATATGTGGATTCATGAAATTCATTTTTGATCTTCAAGTGACAAAAAACTCTTCACAATTCGCCTATTATTGAAAAATAAAAATAAAAAACAGACAGAAAAAGCAAAAATCTCTGTCATGACTTCAGCTTCCAAAGTACATGTAGCATTTTTAATTTTAAATATCATAAAACCCTGAGTTTAGAATAGGCACTCTGGCAAACTTAAGAAATTTACATTTATAGATTTACATTGAACGTTTATGTACCGTACCAAAAATCCGCTGCCATTGAAATAAACTGAAAAAGGAAAAAAAAATAAGTAAACAAGCCTAATGGAGCTCCTGCATTAAATGCTGTTGAGCAACATTTTCAGGCAATCCCTGAAATCAGGTGTTTTCTGAAATGATCAGGAAAAGTCCAGTCAGACTTCTGCACATCAAAAGCTTTGTTGGTTCACTGTTCATGAGCAAGGCACTTTGACAACATTATTTTTAACAAAAATTCAAACTTGATACTTTTTTATTAAATAATCATTAAATTTTTTTATGTATTATTACTTTTTCAGTTTGGTGTTATTTGAATTATTGGTATGATTTTTTTATTTTCTTTATTGGAAGGGTATGTAAACGTTTAATGTGTAGATCAGACCAATTTTACTTTTGCAACAGGCTTTGTGTGAACAGAACTTCTTTTAAATAATATAACAGTGCATTATCAGCATAAAAACCTACTGGATTACCAATGCATAATTTTTCCTACCTTCCTGGTTAGTTCACTGTGCAACATCATAGTTAAATGGTCTAAATGTGTGTTAGTTTTATTTGTTGTTTTTTTCATTCATGCATTAAAACCCTCATTCTTTATCGCATTGGCTGCTGCTCCTTTAAAATCACCAGCATCTAATTAGCATAAAGAAATTGCCAAAATCTATTCCTATCAATCCTAAGTTTTGAACTGAACCTTGGAAAAAAGAATCTCTGGATTTAACAGAATGGTTCATCTTCATCCAACAAAGGCTCCTTTATGTTTAAATGTTTTAACGATCCCCCCTGATCAGCATACATCTGAACGCCGCAGCTCTGAATTCCTTTAGTCCTGCTGCCATGGTGCAGAAATCACAAAGCCGCCCCTCAAGTCGCCATACTCACTGTGAAAAACACCAACACACAGAATAACACTCAAAGCATGGCAGGGAGGCTTTGATTTGAAAGGCTCAAGCTGTCCTTGGCAACAGCCTGCCATACCAGCCTCCAACTGATTCTTGTCTTTTCTTCTGCTTTGCTTTGGTTAGTGTTTATTTTAACATTCACTGCAGTTTCTAACCTCCCCTCTCATTTCTATTTATCCTTTTTTTTGACTCAAACGTCTAAAGAAAAATTCAAACATGTCTGTGTTGTGTGGATACCTGTTGTTGCTGTTAAATAACCAACAAACAGTGAGGTTTTCACCCTTATATACATTGTAACAGGGATGAGATGTCACCACTGACTGCTCTTCCAGCAGATGCTGTTTGCTGAACTAATATTGACAGTGGAGGTTTTCCACACAGCAGGATGTGTCTGTGTCGATGAGGAAACCTTGAAAATGTTGACATCTATCATCTGACCATTAATCTTCCTGCATATATAAATAAGATAAGAAGTCAAATCAGAGTTTTATTCCATCATGTAGTAAATATTCACATCTAATACCAAAAATAAAGATCCCACTAGGTTTTATAGAGTTATTTTTATTTATCTAGCTCCTCTGTTATTTCTGATCAGGTTCCACTCTTGCTGCCACCTCTTCACTCTCACTCAATATTCATTCTTCCTCCATCACATCTAACTCACTCCTCCTCCTCCTCCTACTCAGTAAATCCTTCCCTCACTCTGTCTGATCACCAGAGGTTTCATAGCCAAATGTCCTAGATTTGCCTTTTTAGCTAAATTTAACCTCAGCTTTCAGCAGTGAAGCATCCAGGTTTCAGTCCGAGGCTTCTTTGCTTCTTTGACCATGAATAAAAAGTAGTTTAACACAGACTAGATGAAAAAAATGAAGGAGAAAGTACCGCTATATGATGTCATGGAAGAAAATTGTCTTGGAAGGTTTGAGTTTTTTTTTTTTAACCATTTGCATCCCATTAATCATAAACACATTTGATTATTTTATTTTCAGATTAAAGTAATTTTTTCATCACACACAGGAGAAATTAACTAATTGGGTTCAGTCAAATATTAATACGAGCTCAAAAAACAAAAATTTTCCAAAGTTAGAAACATGCAGAAAATGTAATGACACTTTTAACTGCATTTTGGACAATATATTAAACGTGTGAATCATAAATTAATTATTTTGTCCTGTATTTAAGCACATTAATGTTAGGAAATAGGGTTTATATGGGAAATGTTTTTCTGTAAAAGCTGGTCAGAATTGAGTTATAAATGGTTTGGACTTCCAGTGCAGTGAGATTAAACATAAAACGAAAGCTACAAAGAAATCAATCAAATCACAGCCATGAATGTCCAAATTCAAATCTGTGTTAAATTTTGAAAGCTGCTGTTCCAGATGCCCTTAATCCAGTCTGACTTTTAACACAAACAGCCCAAAGGTTTATTCTAGAAAGCAGTGACTTAAAAAGCTCTACATTATAACGTGCAGTAGGTATAATTTTCTATATTTTTGCTACTATTTGCTAATTTTATGCAATCAATTATGAATGTAATAAAGAAAAAAAAAAACTTACGCTACCATATGCTTTAGGGAGCATTTCCTTTGTTGAAAAAATACCAAGAAAAACACTGGATTATAAAACATTGGATAACCAAAACCTCATCCACGCACACAGAAAATATGTTTTTTCAACACTGATCTCACACATTTTCTCTCTAGAGATGAAGTTATTGTATTCAAGCAAGTTAAACTTGTTTCATTATAAGCATTGTTGAAGGATCAGATGCTAACAAATCTTTAATATAGTTCGAAGTGATTTCCTGATTAGAGTTATGTCCTTATATAAATGTAATTGGAGAATGGGCTTTAGTAGGAACATGACATATTAATTAAATCTTCATAAGCATGTTAACGCAGACATCAGTATTGTTAATAAGGGGACGATTGGCATGAAAATGTTTAATGTAAAAGCCAATCAGAGCATTGTGATCAGATAGAGAGAGGTGGTTTGTGTCGGTGCTTAATCCGATCAGCATCCATCTTAACGGATGTCCAGTCAGGTTGTTTGGGTCGGTGCAAACTGACCTGACAGCCCATGTATGTAGAGAAAGGAGCAGCGGCGCTGGGACGCACTGAGCTTTAAGGGATGGTTATTTCAAACCGCTCTCTCATTCTGTAAACTGTAGGGGTCCATTCTGGGAGCTTAACTCGGTCGGAACTAAAACTCTTTCTAATCTGATTTTTTTTTTCTTTTGCATATAAGCAGAAGTTCATCACTTTTTCTGCAGTTTATTTAGAGCAGTTCTATTGTGAATAAATAAAGTCCGGTGCACGTAAACAGACGTCATGATTGAATTATTTGATTTTAACAATATAAACAGTGCATTTACATATTTTTTTTTAATCAAAGAATTATGCGTGTATGAGGGTCCAAGTTTGATTGTGAGGGGTTGGCAGAAGATAATTAAATGAATGATCTGTATTTAGATTTATTTTTAAGAATTGTACTAATTGCAATATCAAATTCTGGCACATAGTAAAATAAACGGTTAAATTCAAAGTAAATACACTTTAAAGCAGGTAGTGGTGTGATTTAAAGGAAACTATAGTTGATTTTATGACAGTATCGAATGTACTGCTGTGGACTTCTCTTTCTGCAACTGTTAAAAAGTGATGGTTAGTGGTAAGCAGTGATTAAAGATGGGGGGAATCTGAGTAAACCAAAGAGAAGTCCAGTGAGGACCACTGTGCAAGGCTAGAAGTTTCATGTCTGCAATGTTTTAATATCACTTGTTGATAAATAAGTTGTAATATTAATTAGTGCAGTTTTAGCTGCAGACAATTTTTTTGCTGTTTTCCTGCTTCATAAATTTCATAAACATGAAGATTTCTCTTTCACTGCTTTACAATTTAATGTTGGGTGTCTGGGGATAGACCTACTGGAGTATCTCTCAACTTTAGCCACCATCATAATC